AAGTATGACTTTCTGGTCGGACGATTTGTGTCACGGCAAGAGAGACAAAATCTGGACACGGGTTTTTCAGAATCGCAACCAAACTTTTTTCTTAAATTGAAAAGTCGAGTAAAAGTAAATAACTTAGGAATTCTTCCGAACCCAGCTTTTCTTCACTTACTCGGGTTTTGGTGTCAGCCTAATCAATTCTATCGACATATTTGTTTTATCCTATCTCGAGCCGGAATAGGTACACTAACATCATTAACCCTAGGACATAATCATTGTAATAAACAATCATCTAATTTATCTCAAAATATATACATACTACTTATAAAGAAATTAAGTAAGTATTTGTATCTATTTAAGTCGGCACTGTACCGCTGTTGCATGAGTAGAAAAGCATTGTCAAACGTGATAAAGCAGACGACTTTACTTTTGGCCAATAATTTCAACGAATATTTCAAAAAACCGCCAATTGCCTCGTGCTCATATCTGTCTTACTTTCCTGTATGCTCACTCTAGGGCTGAATTGTCTGCGAGGCTTGCATGTAAATACACACACACACACACACACACACACACATCTTAAATTCAGCTTTACATGCAATGTTGGTATGAGCATGCGACTGGTGCATATCCTTAAAATTCACCTTCATCAAGCCAGAAAACTTGGATTTGAGATAACTATGCACTACTTGGCCTCCATCGAAAGGAGTAGTAGAATGGGTTTTGGCTTGGACAGTAGATGTGGACAGCAGTCGTCTGCCTGGCAGAATCAGACTGAACATGGGCCGAGAGTCGATCCGGCATGGGTCTTGTTCTGAACGCCCCACGGAAACTCTGGCCCAGCAGGTGCAGATTCCGAGACTGGTGTCCAAGTGATCACTTACAAAAGTGCCTACTCAATGTGAATATAAGTAGTATGTTCATGAGTGGAGAGAAATTGGATGATGGGTCATAAAAATGGCTTTGAGTCACGAGACGGACTGAGCTAGTCGAGCTTCGGTGCAGTCCGGAAAAAATGTGAGTGTAACCGGAAGAAAGCCCGCGAATCCCGGCAGCAGAAGACCATGGCTGACCTAAGTTGCCGAGACCGAGGTGTAGCAAATAGCCCGACAGCAGGACGGTCGGCTGCCGTGTCCTCCCATATGCCGGTGCATTGCTACCCTCGGATGGTATTAATCAAGTCCGAAATGGTGATGCTGAAGTACGACAAAAGTGGCATTTTGTTCGGCTGTCATGCTGAACTCGTCGGCTCTGCCAACTTTGGCCGAGGCAGAAGAGACCAAGAACTATCTGGCAGATGGCAGATGTACACTCCTGCCCTCGTGCACACTTTCAAGCCGCGTCTGTCCGCAAAGGCGAACGAGATGGGAGGCTGGATCACTCAGGACAAGAGGTCTTACGTCACACACATACACATACAAAACCACACACTGACCCGGTCACCTGATCGTCTCGTCTCAGACTCTCCAAGGCTTGGGGACTGTGAAGAGTGAACAAGTTGGCATACGGAAAGACAAGAGTTTCAATCAGCAATTGTTTCGAAACCGAAATTCCACAAATACGCTAGGCTAAAAGA